CTTGTTAGGGACTAGGTAGACTTATTTATTGCCTTTTTACTTTTAAATGAATATAAACATCTTTTAAACTTTTTTCAGAATTAAGGAATATCAAGAGATACAGTTGATCAAATGATTGATACAGTTGATACAACTGATTTGGGCCAATCAGCATAAAGGTAGTGGGCAAACACTTTTTATAATAAGCAAATGGTCCTTTCCCCTTTCTTGGCTGGAAATACCTGTATTCCAAGAATTAACAACATACTAATTTACTTTTAAATCCTAATTGTAAAAGATGGCACTCTGTTCAATGTTACCATGTTATCACGAAGTAGAGTTTTGATTAGCTTTGTTTTATTGAGTGAACCCTCTTTAGATTAGCCTTAACTTGACATGATAAGAAAGAAAACAGAAACATAATCCACATTTTATCTTCCTCAACTTTGGTTATTATTATAATATTATTATTATACTCATGGAAGAAATGTAAAATCTTGCAAGTTTTGTTTTTATATGATTAATCTACCCCAGAAAGCGTCCTTGTAGGCGTTCTGATTCCAGTAGTGACTGTAACTAATCATGGTTCTGGAAAAAAAAAAAAAAAAAAAAAAATCTGTGAAAATAAACATAAATAAACATGAAGTAAGTGATAAAGGCAGTCTTTTTACATTTTGTCTTGTCTCTGGCTGTTTGGTATAATAGACTGAAAATTCAACTATTCTGTTTATTGGCAGAAGTTACAGTGACACAGCTGGGATTCATATGTTCCGTATTAGCTGAGTTACTGCTATTTAACCATATTGGATTAACAGAAACTTTACTTGCTTTTAAGAACCACACCTTTGCATGTACTGACATTATGATATACTATTGGTTAATTAAGGGAAGAGTGTGTATTTAGGCTTATTGCTCAAAATTATGCCAGAGACAGCTTGATATTTTGAGTATTTCTTCTTTAGCACTAGCATATTTCCAGAATATGTTGGATCTAAGACTTAGAAAAGGAAATCTATTTCTTAAATAAAATACATTTTTGTGATGGATAATATGCATATGCTTTCTAAAAATCATAAACAAGTGTGTACCTCCTTCCCCCTTTCTTAATGTATCACATTGAATTCACAGTGTTTAATTATATATTTAAATTTAATCATGTAATCATTTAATAGATGTAAGTACAAGTTTGAAGTTTAAAATGCACCCCCTTGCTTTACTAAAAATGGACCATGAAGTCTATGAGCCTGAAGAAAATACGTACATATCTGAGTAACACTAAAAGCAGAGTTCAGCAATGCCCAGCGGGCCACTTCTACAATAGCAATCCACTTCTGAAATGTTGGTCTCTGCAGGGAAGATCACTATCATTATAATTAGAGCTACTCTACAATGGACTGCTCAGAGTAGCTATTCCAAAAAGTTCTTTGAAGGTGAAGATGAGTGGTAGACATTCTCAGGAATAGAAAATTGCTTTCTCAAGTAGAAAAAAAAAAATCAACCAAATAAAGTAATTCTTAAATTTAATTTTTTGCTATCCCACTGTAAAATAAAAATGCTGTATTTCGAGTTTGGATGTTGCTGGTGGGCACTAATGAAATATTATGGAATTTATAATTTCCAAGAATATGTAATATAGTATTATACTTGCAAATAGATATATTTTGTGAGCAAATTAAGACAGACAAAAATGTAGCAGCTCTACCTCCAGTGCTCTTGTTCTATTTTTTCTTTCAAAATTAACAATTCTTTTTTTCTAGTAATTACAAAGGCCTAATTTCTAAGAAATGTTCAATACTTTTAGGTAGGTAAAAGTACATATATTTTTATGAAAAATATTTTAAGATATTCTCATCAGTTTTTTATTGTTTTGTTTTTAAATAATTACCTAAGCTGTATTTAACCTTTTAAAGACTATATCAAAGCACAGTCCTTTGTTTTCACACCAAGGCTACCACATGTTGCTGTATAGATAGCTTGTTATATATATAGTTTTACTGCTTCTCACAGAATTATATCCTGGAACTTTAGATACCATGCAGAAATTTCTGCAGTCTGTTAAAACTGCATACCTAAAACTATAACTGCAAGAGTCCTAGAAACCGAGTGAAAAGTTTTCTCTTTTGAAGAGAAGATTGCAATGCTGCTGCCAAGAGCACTGAAACTATGACAAAAGATTATGACACCGGTTGCTTTTTATTTTAAATAAAGATTAAGATCTGGAAAAGCGGTCATGGAACTTAGCTCTGTGATTAATAGGCATTACTAGAAGAACATAAAGAGAAGGACAGGTAATAATTATTTAAAAGGAAAAGTACCTGAAACCCTGAATTGGAATTTTATTCTGTTATCTGGACCACAAATAATAGGTAGTATCTGTTGCGATAACAATTCAGCATAACGACAGAGTTTGAAAATGTATTTCTAGTTTTGAGATCTGCTTTATTTTAGTAACTCAGAATCACAGAATGGTTGAGATCATCTGGTACAACCTCCCTGTTCAAGAAGAGTCACCCAGTGCTGGTTGCCTAGGACCATGTCCAGATGGCTTTTAAGCATCTCCAGGGAGGGAGACTCCCCAACCACTCTGGTCAATGTCTGCCAGTGCTCGGTCACCCTGACAGTTAGAAAAAGTGTTTCCCGATGTTCAGAGGGAACCTCCTCCTGTATTTCAGTTTGTGCCCATTGCTTCTAGTCCACTGAACAGAGCCTTGCTCTGTCCTCTTTGCACCCTCCCTTTGAGGATTTATACACATTCATGAGATACGCCCTTGAGCCTTCTCCAGGCTGAGCAGTCCCAGCTCTCTTTGCCTTTCACCATAGGAGAGAGGCTTCAGTTCCTCAATCATTTCTGTGGCATTTGCTGAGCTCTCTCCAGTAGCTCCACGCTGTTGAAATTGACAAGTTAAAGGATATAAAAAAGGTCTTCTATAAATTTGCTCTCCACATTTTTGATGTGACAGTAGAACATACTAGTACAAATCAAAGGTAAATAGAAGTATTCATGCAGATGTAAATGCAGTAACACTTGTTTTTCTTCACATTGAAATCAGGAAATTAACAACTAAACAGTATTTCTTTTGAAAAATAGCTGTAATCTGACCTCTCCACTTTTTTTATATACCTCCACTTAACAGCAACTACATAATACTATAATCCACAGAAACTGTATTTAATAAGTTGTGTGGGGTTTTTTTTTTTAATTTTATATTCTTTATTTCCTATAAGTTAATATTTTCTTTGGTGTAAGTGTTCTGAAGACTTAGAATAGGATGTAATAAAGTTGATTTTCAGAATACTTAGCTTTTTGGCAATCTGCCCATTATAACAAAACAATATGGTGTTGTAAACTCTTTGGCTGCTCATGTTTGATGTGTGCACAGGAAATACCATAATTATTTGAGAAAAGTGTTCCTGAGTAAGACAATTGCATTGATTGCACTAAGTTAGTAAATAAGTTCTCTTCTGCTATTATTATATTGCAATTAGGATATCAAACAATTGCATGTATGTACAATTTGATTAGTGATTTTAATTTTCTCTGGCAGACATTTATCTCCCAGTTGAAACTTAAGACTACATGGACCATTTCTTAGGAATTATAGTCTTTATGTTTTAACCAAAGATTTTCAGGGGGAAATAGTCACGTTTAACTTATTTTTATAAGTTAATAAAATATAGTTTGTGTTTTTTAAAAAAATTGCTGTCAGAGAAATGCTGATTGTTTTGTTCCTTTTGTTATATTGTTGAATTGATGTGAACTTCAAAGCAGATTGAAACAGATGAGCTATCAGAACTCATAAGTTGTTAAAAAATAATTTTCTAACAAAAAATAAGAATGTCCAAAGAAAAGCAATGAAGCTGGTGAAGGGCCTGGAGCACAGGTCTTATGAGAAGTGCCTGGGGTTGTTTAGCCTGGAGAACAGGAAGCTGAGGAGTGACCTTCTCACTCTCTACAACTGCCTGAAAGGAGGTTGTAGCAAGGTGGGTGTCAGTCTCTTCTCCCAAGTAACAAGTGACAGGACTAGAGGCAACATCCTCAAGGTGCACCAGTAAGGTTTAGATTAGTTATTAGGAAAAATTTCTTCACTGAAAGGGTTGTCAAGCATCGGAACAAGCTGCCCAGGGAAGTGGTTGAGTCACCATCCCTGGAGGTATTTAAAAGACATGTAGATGTGGCGCTTAAGGACATGGTTTAGTAGTGGACTGGGTAGTGTTTGGTTAAAGGTTGGACTCATTGATCTGAAAGGTCTTTTCCAACCTAAGTGATTCTATGAATTTAATTTTAAAAGGCCGTTTGTAATTTGAGATCATTTCAATAGTTGTAGATAAACTTTTGGCACTTTTCACGTAAAAGTAACAATGTTTGTCAAAACTAGAAACTTTGCTGATGTCTTTACTAATATGGATGTAAAGTCAATCTGGTGAATTTTTACCAGAATTGTCTGTATTAAAAAACTATCACTGAATAAAAAAAAGTTTTCACAGTTGAAATCCTGGTTTTGATCCTAGAAATGACCATGGCGTCATGACATATACAACCAAGGAAAATGGTACCTTTGACAGCATTTGAACTTCTGTGGGTGTCTCAGTTTTCACAGTTTCCTTATGAAGGGAAGTTCATGTATTTGTGACTCCCTCTAGTGGATAGCTTTCTCAACTATACACTAGGAAATGTTCTCCATATTAAAATCATTTGACATCCTTAAAAATTGATAGGTGTTCATTTTCATGGTGAAGATCTGATTCCATTCTCATGGACAGTCAGAATGTGTTTGTGTGTGTGCATCTCTACTTATTACCACTCATTTTGTAATGTATTTTTTAAAGGTTTTTTCCACAATGTGGTTGCTGATAATCATTATCTATTTATACGTGCAACTAATGTTTATATATTAGCAGTTGGAACATCCTTTTTTTTTCTGTGCTATGAACCTCTTCTGTTTCCCAGACTTTCATTTTCATGACTGTATATTCCTGAAATGTTTACAGTTTGCCTGAATTCTTATTTAATTATATTTCAGGTACCACCAAAGTAAACCTTGTAAAGATCCCATCAACTGCTTCCAGTCCTCGAGACACTGCTCTAGCAGCTGTTATATGCAGTGCACTTGCGACAGTGCTCTTAGCTCTTCTCATTCTTTGTGTTATCTATTGTAAGAGGCAGTTTATGGAGAAGAAACCAAGCTGTAAGTGTCCAATTATTACTGTTTCCTTGTAATATTCATATACCAGTACTAGTTTGGCAAATTTCTCTGTAGGTAAATAACTGAAATTTCTACAGCATTCAAGTAAGTTTAGTATTGAGATGAACAAGCTAGCAGAAGCCCAAGACTATGTATCCATACATATTTGCCAGCTCATTGTGAATGTTCAAGCTTCTACTGAGAAAATGCTGTGCAGATGTCCAGAAATAATCCATTTGCATTAATTCTCTGTTAGATGCTGCACAGATACATGTGGACCATTTGGGATCAGAGCTGGGATGTCATTATAGAGTGTGGAAATACCAGCATGGAGGATCTGTGCATCACATGCCACTGTGAAACAACTTAGCTCGTCAAGATAATGAATGTGGCCAGTGTAGACAGCAGATTTGTCATTAACAATGTTGGTTTTATGGGTTTATTCAAGATTAATTAAATGCCTAAGCCAGTTAGATTTATAAAATAAAATAAAAAAAAAATCCGTAACAGCTCATCAATGTATTTTTTCTGCCCCTTAATTTAAATTAAGAAAAATAAGAGTCAGAAGCACCATTTATCATTTTAAAAACTTCTATTAAAATATATTGATAGCATCTAATAAATGCTGGATGTCAAACAAGAACATTAACTAGGAAGCAAAAATAAAAAGGTCCAGAAAGGTATTTTAAGAATTGTTCCTAACCTAGATGCTTTACAATGTAAGTTTTAAGAAATTCAGACATAGTGAATTCGAACTTCATTTAGTGAAATTTAGTAACTTGTTTGCCTTGATGTACAATTATAGAGATTAAAGGAAGTCTGCTGTTAATATAAAGCTCTTTAAGATAACATAAACAAAATCCCAGTGTCTGAAAGCTAAATGTGGAAAATTGCAGATGGAATCACTGAGAATCATTAAACACTGAGAAAATGTAACAGTGAATAATATATACTCCCAAAACATCATCAAAATAAGAGCAGATGTCTTCCTAGAAGAGGCTGTAGTTGAACCAGCAAAATCTGTTGTAATGTGAAACAACATGATCATTATGGATCTTTCAGTTGGAAAATGTATGGGAATACTGTATAGTGCGACATTTAAGCATCCTATGAAGATAGGTGGCTCTGAACAGGAAAAACAGTATAATTTACTAATACATTTTTTAATTTATTTTGTCCAAAGGGTCTCTGAGATCACAAGACGTTCACTACAATGGCTCTGAATTGTCATGTTTTGATAGACCACGGCTAAATGAATATGACCATAGAACATGTTGCCAGTGCCAGAGAAGCACATCACAAACATGTGGTATGTTAGGTCTACTTAAAAGTGACTTTATTGCATGATGAACATTGATCTAACACTTGAGTTATGACATTTAACTTCAACTACAGAGCTAATATTGTCAGACTACCTTTTGTCCTAGGCTAATTTCTCAATAAGCACATAGAATGTCTAAGTAGCTATTTGGTTATGATTTTTTTGTTGTTGTTTTCATTCCAATGACCCTTTACTTCAAAAATAACTTTAAATGTCTATCTAATTTCTTTCCTATAAAAATAGCACTGCATCTGTCTTTGAGACTTAAATTGGTGTGAAGGGTTACCAGATAGTATCTACGAACATGATATGAACTCTAAAGGATATTAAAAACCTGAACAATTCAAATCATTGAGATTTTGTGAAGTAGTATCAGAACAGATGCATTTATGACATTTACAAATGCATAATTTAACACAAGAGCACAGGATTAAATACCATCCTAATATGTTAACTCAGAATGTGGTACATCCTCTCATATGTATCTAATTGAAAAGTAAATTAATTTCAAAAGTAAATATTCATGACTGGCACCTGAATTACTCCTGGAGGAACAGCATGGCTTTTATAAGTAATTCCATTTTAAAGTAATAAATTAAAGAGCCCATTTTTTGCAATAAGAAATCTCTTTCCGCAATCCATGTAGTATAACATAACTGGCAAACTAATATGCAAGTTTGAACAAGTACAGAGACTAACTTTGTACAGAGCTTTAAGACTTTTAACATTATCAAATTAATTTTCATTTCTTAGGACCAGTTCACTTGATTCCATCCTTGTGCTGTGATGAAACCTGTAGCATGGAGCACAGCAGTCACAGTTGTGCTTTCCACTCACAGACTGCGCTTAATGAAAGGTAACTTAGTTTTAGAAATGTCTATTAAACATTAAATATTTCTTATGCAGTCAAATTAATATTTATACAAATACAATGGCTGTTTGGAGTGGAATGAGGGATTTTAATGAACACATACTTCTGTTTTAGGCAAAAACAGGTTATGGTGAAAAACTGATTTTATGTATTACTTAATAAATGCTGACATGATGTATCAGTTTCTCTGACAAAGAAGTGACTTATTTCTCTTGCAGGCAGATAGTCTTCCTCTTGCTCTGTGGTACCTTAGAGACTTTGATGACCCCCTCTTCTGCTGTGGGTTAGCAAGGTGCTGCATAAACCTGTGAATCTGGGGGTATATTAAAGTACAGTTTAGAAGTGTAATGTATATTTTCTTTTTTTTTTTTTTTTTTAGAAGCTTAGAAGCTCTTAATGGCTGTGAGATTTGAAATATCTCGTATTTTGATTGTAACCACTAGTTTCTCCTGATCAGCTGAATATAAATATGGTAGTAGAGCAGTTATTTCTACAGCAGTGCCATGAGCTAAATATATAAAATTCATGGTGTCATTCATAGCTTCCTGGTTACAGATTTTAACACAGGATGTATTTATTTCTTTTAACTAGAATTGTTTTCCATATAAGGTTTAAATTGGTCTCTGGCTGTTTTGTTCTTATGGCCAAATGTAACTTAAAATGTTGAGGCAGCTTCTTCGTACATACTGTTTATGCAAGGTGACTTAGTGATCTAAGTGCAAGATACGAAATACCTATATTTTCTATAATAGCTTGTTTAAATACCAGCAAGTTTGAGTCATCCTTTTATACCACCACGGCTGACAAATTGAGAGTTGTGTACTTTGTGAAGGATCTTTTGGTTAAGGCTTTAAAAATAAATGTCATATCCATGCTATGTGGACATCAAGGATTCTGTGGTTCCTTCCAGTAGAAATGAAGTTTGCTTCAATTTCCTTTGCCAAAATAATGTATTTCCTTCAATTGTGGTGCAATGTCCTGACTTCTGGCCTCATCTATAAAAATGCTTTGTGTGTAGATCAAAGCTATTAAAGCATCATGTTTTGGAAATGAGTAAGGCAACTTAAAATCTGTTATAGGCCAAGTCAATGTGGGATGAGTTTTGTCACACAAATTATTACTGTATATCAGACAATATAGCTTTTACAGTTTTATAAATCTATAGACTGTTTTTGGAAATAAAATGTATTGGTATATCTTTTTGGTTCTGTTAATACTTACTGTGGTGTGCTATAGTAAAAAACTACTGGGCTCTTAACAGAGATATGCATGTATAGTGCACTCAGGCATGTCAGTATCACCATGAACCTTAAATACATTTGAGATGGGTAATACTGAGTTTCTACTTCCATTTTCCATAAAATAAAAATAATCCTTATAAGAATTAAAAATCTTTGTCCTTCATTAATATTCTGTCCTTTCCACATGAAAGGGAATACAAGGAAACCTTGCCTTTTCACGTTTTGAAAGCCAGACGGAACAAACTGAAAAATCTAAAGTGAATGTGGGTCCCTTCCAACTCACAGCATTTTATGATTCTTTGAATGCAGATAGAAGGAGTTTCAAGCAGTCTTGTCTATTCCCTTTTCCAAGTCAGAACACACTTTTTCTTTTACTTCCATTAGATATTTGTCTTGCCCTATTTAAAAATAAAAAATAAAACCTAGTGTTGGAGATTCCACAACGTTCCCAAGCATCTTTCTTGCTATGTTTTAAGCTTGTTATATCTTGTTTTAAACTCTGCCCCCCGCTACCCCACATTGAGAGCAAATAAATTCATTCCTCTCTGAAACAGTCTTTGTACATGAACAGTAGTACTGTAGTATTTTTTTATCATATTTCTGTTCTTTAGCCTATAAACAACCACAGCTGTAGTTTATGTTTTCTAAAACCCTGAATTCACAGTGTAAAGGGCTCTAGGCATCTTCTTTATCTTTAGTATTGTTCTCCAGAGCTTTCTTCATTTCCAGATGAGGAATAAACTGTATTCCTTTTCGAAATAATTTGTTTGTACAGGATGTCTCTAGAGTATTAACTTAATATAACCCTGTTAAACCTTCTTGAAATACCTGTAATTATGAATTACAATAATTACAAAACTGATAATATTTCTGGAATGCTCTTGAAACCATGTGTTTTTTATCCTTTTGCAGGGCTTCTGATTCTGTTGGAGAAATGATTCCTACCTTCCTTGGTTCTCTTTCTCACTCTACCTGTGGAGACATTTCAGACGCTTGGCCTCTTATGCAAAACTCAGCTTGTGACAGCATTTCTTTCTGTGAATCATACTCAGAACTGGCTGGAGGATCTGCAAAATCCTGGAGTCCTGAGACTGAAAATGCAGCCACTGCTGAGTCGGGTAATAACCAGGATCCAAGTGAAGTACTTATTTCAGCCAAGTCTCTTGATGGAAACATTGAAAAGTCCTTTGAAATCTCCAAACATAGAACATGCATAGAAGTTTCATCACCTCAGAACTCAGTGGCTGCTGAAACCCAGCCAAAGACAAAGCGTAATGGAACAGCAAATGACTCTACAGACTGATAAAGAGGTAAAAAACATAACTACAAAGGAGTGAGAATGAATGCTCGAGGCATGTAGAGCTAGATAAAAATAGCATTGTAAAAAGCTGTAGGGTTGTGTTTCTCCATAGATTACACCTAGCTATTGCTGAAATAAATTAAAACTCTACAAGAGATCCAACAGTTTCACATTTTAAAATCATTGACTGAATTTGAAAAGTGTAATTACTCAAAACTGTAATGCTGAGATAACGTGAACCAGAACACAGGGGAAAGTCTGTACACCAGTCAGCTTTTATCAGGTTTTGGTTTCTTTTTTCATTGAATTTCAGGGGAAAAAAAATTAGTTTAATAACCTTATGACCAAACTATTATGTGGGGCTAGTCCTTGTTTATGAGGGAAGAACAGAAGACTTGTCTTTGCTTGTTGTAAACAAAGCATAAAAGAGATGCAAGTATTCATCCAAAAATATTTACAAAGCCTTCTCTGTAAAGTTCCTACAGTAGTAGTATAAACAGAAGAGAGAATTTCAAATGCTTTTTAATGCCATTCATATTTCCATGTCATCAGATAAAACATTCCATAAGTTTGTCCATAAATTATAATTTAAGCTATAAAGCTCAGTGTTCTCAGAGAAAATACAGGTCTGAGGTCAAAATGAGAAGACATGCTAATAGTCTTTACCACATAACAGTGCAACCATCACAAAAAGTCACTCTGCTGATGCTTCATCATTGTATCTTTTTGAATATTAGCTGTGCTCTGTGTTTTTAAGATGGCATTTTTCTACTGCTGTAAGTAACTTGGAGCAACAAGTAGTTAATTTGTGAAAGGATCCCAAAGTGTGGCATGTGTACTGGTGCTGTTACTCAAGGGTTATGCAGGCTGTAGCTGGAAAGCTGAAATAATCTCCTGTGCATATATACAGAGGCAGGAACAGAAGCAGTTGCCACTAATATTAATAATCCACCAAAATTAATTAAGAAAATTATGCTGTCTGTAATTATGAAAAATTTAGGTCATCTGCAGAAATAAAACTTTGATCCTCTTCCATTTGGTTTGTATGCCACTTTCATATTGTTTTTAAATAAGAAGTAAAAAGTAATTAGTATTTAACAAAACAAATCTATACTCTGAAAACATGTAAGTGCAATAGTTAATTCTTTGTAGATCAAGCCTTAATTATTTAGGTGATGTTTTCAAGAGGAGAAAGGGAGATAAACAGTCTGCTCAGTCAAGAATTTTTTTGCCGTTGACTTCAATGGAACTCATATATCTGCTGTCACTGAAAAATATCAACCTTATCTAGTTTGCACATCTTTTTCTCAATATCTTATTTGTCTGGCACAAACTGCCCATGTGTCAGATGGAAAGAAATTGGCATAGTTTCATTTCAGTATATGCCAAATGTCATTAGGTGATATTCTTGTTCTCTAGTTTTGTATAGGAAGGGACAGTGACATGACTATGACTGTAAATCTTGAAACTCTAATTCCCATTTTTTTCAGCAGTTATCAATAGAACTTGAATGCTTGATGTTTTAAGGGAATATATTTCTATATTAACAAGGTTTTAAAAATCAAAAGTTTGTGGGTTTTTTTTACCCACTAAACCATGTATCAACTTCAGAGGTATGTGATTAATGTTATTTAGAGTTTTTCTAGATGAAAGGAACCGTAGAACTTCAAAATATCACTATAAAAATTAACTTACATTTCACCATACTTGTTATGATATGTAATTGTAAATTTTCTTACTGATTCATGTTTGTATGTAGACATCTTTTCTAACATTTCAGAATCTTATATTCTTTGATGGTTTTGTACAATCATATATTACGACTGAGATTTGTGTTTAATTCTGAATAAGCAAGATGGTTTGGATAGGTTAGGTTTTTCTTCATTTTTTTCTTTAATAGAGTTTATTGATTCATTTTAGACAATATCTCCATATTCAGAATCTACACTGCATCGTTATATATGAATCTTTGATGGAGAAATTTAAGTAGCATTTGAGGGACAGGACCAGGAGTAGGGTTACCTGAAATGTATTTTCAGGCTTAACTTTCACCAACTATACAACTCCAAGAAGATTTAATTTCAGTCTGCCACATTTTCTTCCATTTGCCCTTTACCTTTCTTGTGTTTCTGAAATATTTTGAGGGAAGGATGGTCTTTTTAGTACATGTTGGATGCATTACAGTCTTGCATAAGGCCATACTTCATTATTATATTGCAAAATAAATAATAATGGGATAAAATAAGAAGATAGCATATTTTTATTTATGTGCACATAAATATATGTTTTTAATGGGTGTTTTAATACAGGTTCAGTCTTCAGGTTTAGGTAAGTTTTTACAGCAAGCAGTAAGGATAGCTGTATTTTTTTAGTGTTTAGTCAAGTATAGAAGTACATACAGGTTTTTTTATGAATTTATGTAACCACTGCTCTATCATTTTCTTTTAGGAAACAAAGCTATTTCTTTCAGCACTAAAGGTGAATACATCCCTAATGCTCCTCTGCTAATTCTCATCAAACCTAGTCTGGTCTTCAGTGTTGCATGGTTTCAAAATCAGCTGGGAAAAATGGCATCATTTCACACCTTCTGAGCAGTTGCATCTGAGCCATAACAGCTGTAATGTGAAACTTCAAGGAGCATCCTAGGAGAACCCTGAAAGAGGATTTATGACCTTTTGCATCTCTTAAAAAAGAACCTTCTATTCCCTCATAGTCTCATAAAGTCTAATGGAGTGAGGTTAAAAGCATATGTAAATACAGCAAGAAATATAAATACTTCAGAGTGTTTAGGTAGGTATCTTGAATATGGCTACAGGTGTCAGAAGGTGTGGGACAAGATGTTGCCAGTTATTCTGCTTGCAGATTTATGCATGCATTAGGATTTTTTTTGGCTGGTTCTAATTTTAACTTAGTTATCTGCTGTTGAAGGACTGAAAAAATAAACATTTCTATTTATGCAAGGATCATCTATTGATAAACTGAAGCTTTTATTATATATTACCTTATAGTCAATAAGCTAGTTTGGGGAGTTAAAAAATTGCATGTTACAAAATTGGAGTTCCCTCCATCCAATTGTTACATTTGTGAGAGGGAGCATTGTTTTGTTAAATCTAGCAGGAGTTTAGCTTTAAATTAGATGTAGTTTAATGAAAGTCATCTGTATAGATAGGGATGTTGTTTTTAATTGGTAGTCTCAGTATTGGAATACAGCACTTGTTGGTATAGCATGTAATTTTTGGATGTTGACATAAATGTAATCAACTGTCACATCAAAATGTCAAACTATAGCATGTGTGCCATGAAAGTATTCATACAATGAGATTATTACTAATATTTTTTTAGTAATGCATTATTTCCAAGGGTCAAGCTTCATGGTGACCTAATGTGTTCATTTAGCGGGCCTTTTCGTTCATGTCATTCTCTCCGTCTCACTGTGGTATTATGCAAATTCAGTTTTTCCACACAAAATATAAACATTAATTCCTAACATCTTTTTAAAAAAATACCTCAGAATTGAATCCTCAGAAGTTGTGTGCATGCCTAGTAAATTATCAACTCTCTGCCCTCACTGCTTTTCTTCAAGATTATTTTAACTGCAGTTTGTTGCACCACATCCCATAATACCATTTATTCTGCAGCCATTTTTATCCCTAAATAGTTTTCACTTCTGTGAGTAATCTAAATAACCTCTTCTGATTCATTACACTCACCAGGCTCAAACCTGTCAGTGATGAACTCTAGCAATTACTCTTTAAAGTACCCAATGTGCCTTGACAAAAGTAAAGCAATCAGCAAAACAAATGCAAATTTGCAATAACTATTACTCACCTTTCCACACATGGTTTGTGTACAATGGGAGTGTTGAGACAGTATTCATATTCCATAATGGAAAAATACTTTTACTCTGAAGCACCCACTAGAAGGTTGAACCTGCACAAGAATAGCTAAAGCCAGCATAGGCAGCCAAGGCAGTAAAGATGCTGCAGCTAAAACCAGTGAGATTATTCATGTGTGCAAAAATCACGAATAACAGTTATCAAATTCAAACCAAAGTAAGTGAAGAGATTACATAAGTGATTTGTTTTTTTATAGTAATAAATACCAGAATTTGGTCACTGACAGAATAATACACGGTTATACAGGGAGTACAATTACTCAGCTAAATACTTTAGAGTATATAGTCAAATAAGAGTAGTTTTGAATAATTTCTTTGAATACTTTCATACATTTAAGAAGTGACAAAATGTTATTTTTCACTATATGTGCATGAAGAGATGTGTGCTTCTTTGTATATACTTTGTAAATAGAAAAAATCCAATGTGCATTTCAGTATTTTTAGAACGTACAGAGGTTTAACTTTTCACTAATAACAGTTCTTTAAAATGCTGCGTTCAAATTTTGCCAGCATCTGCCACAGTAAGTATGTTTTCCCATTGGAATTTACACTTTGTATAATTATTTTTGTCCGGCAACTCTAGAGAAAAATACTCGTTTCTTTAAATGAGTGAGTGATAACTTGCGAGCAAATTGGGAGGAAAAAAAATGAAGAGTGCTTTATAAATGTATGTATATATTGTGTATATACTTTTTTCCTTAATTTAACCAAATTGGTCTTTTATATATTGCCTGTGGCAAGCAATGTTGTACATGCCAATAGAAAACATACACTACCACCACATTTAACTTCCCACATATCACATCTAGTGCTGTTTTAAATACTCCCTTAAGAAATGTAAATTAAAATCTTGTATAAATCATTTTGTAATACTTTTTCTACTTGTGAATAAAATGTTACGTGAACAGGTCTTGGTTTGTTGACTTGAAATTAATAATAGCATTATATACAAATGGTCAATTATATTAGTGATCAATTCTTTTATTATTTTTAGAATTACATAATGGTTTAATTGTATTAAAATTACAGTATAATTTGGTACATCTTTGTCTTGAGATGCTTACTGTTTAACATTAGCATCATTCTTCAAGTTGGAGGACCTTGAAGAAACACTAAGTT